TCCGGCTAGTTCACTAAGAACACCGGATGGAGCAACAAATGCTCTAGACTCATGTGTGCCTATAAAGTGTATAGGCTCTAGACTCGAAGTGCTTAGAAATGAAGTCGTAGACTGGGGTGGTGTCTACTTGTTTCAATATCTTGTTCCTCTGAATGAGGAATAGATAGACGTTATGCTTGATCCACATGGGAAGATGAAACTAATACCTGTTGAGAAGTATTAGAGTGTCTTGGAGGGGTGTGCAAACGCATAGCTGTGTGGGCTATGCCTTCTTCAATACTGACATTTAACGGATAAATGTCAACGGTAAACGTGGTTACCCGACTTCTCCTATAAGTTTGGGTAGGAACTGATATTTCTTTTAGTGTTCCTGTCTCACACTCATCATCTTTTTCTTCTTCCCTTTCGCTCAGCCTCTCAGAATTTTCAACTATATCTCCCTTTTCCATCCTTATCGACTCCATAATATTATCTATTTCACCTTCATAGTCGAAATCATGAATCTCTTCACCAAAATCAAATTCCATAGATGGAATGTCTTCTAGATTCATGAGATTAGCACCATCTAGATTTTCATCATCGTTGTTGTTGTCATCATCATTATCATTATCATCTTGTCCTTGATGAATGCCTGAATCAGTTTTAGTATCTTCCGAACTTAAAGAAGTTGAGGAAGTACTGTCTTCAATAGTTGCTACCTGATCAGAGTCTACCCCCGCCGAGCCCCTCTCTATTTCATTTTCTCTCAGCGTACAACCCTGTTCAGATAACCCTTGTACCTTAACACGCTCATCTACAGCTAAACCCTGTTCAGATTCCGTAAATACATGCATGTTAAAATTAAACATTTCGTCCTTTGAGATAATAACCCATGGACTACAATGGATTTTTAATCCAATGTATTGTCACATTTGCAAGGCGTTTTTCAAAAGTAACCGAAATAAAGTCTACGATAATTAGCAAATAAAAGAAATGAACTAAAAGTTACCAACACAATTAATATTACTTGGGTAAAATAAAACTAGCATAAAGTTCAAAGTTTGGAAAAAAAGAAACAATAATAGAAGAGACAAGGAGAGAGATAAATAAAGTGTTTTAAGTTACAAATCTTGTAACTAAAAATGAGATAATGTTAAGAATGAACTAAGCTTCCTCATCCGCAAGCTTAGGGCCCAAGTTTGCACAAAAGGAGCACGAGAAGAAGTAGCCCAAGTCAAAAGGTAAACCAAAATATACGACCTAAGCCTGGCCTAAAAGTAGCTCCAAGCCCACTGGCAAAAATCTTGCAACATTTTGCAATACCGCTTCAACTAATCCTGCAGGAATTCAAATGATTTTGTAGAAATAAGATTTTTGAACAATTTAGCACATGAAATACAAGGAATTCATACACTCATATAAAACTCCATAAATAAATAAAAATGTAAAAAAAAGAATGAAAAGACTCAATTTTGAAAATAAAATAAACCTAAAGAGTGTAAAAACGGTGCAAATAAGGTTAATAAATTAACGTCTATTAATCTCCAACAGCTTCTCCAAAATGGGAAAAATGAAAAAAACGAGGATTTTGAGCCAATATTTTGCTCTAACAGTTTCCCAAAAACTATCTCCAAAATGAAAAAAGTAAGAGAGAGAATGGTTTTTTCTTCATATATGGAGATCACCTAAAAAATGATTACCAAGTGAGAGCACCAATTTAGAGAAGGAAATAATATTTTAATAGATGAATGAAATATTTTAATATTATAATCATTGTTGGATTCTCCAAACTAGAGAATTTGTTGGAGATAAATGTAATTTTTTTTGGAAATTTTGATTTTTGTTTCTCCATTTTGAAGAAATTTTAAGGAATCTGTTGGAGATGTTTTTAGGAAGCTTGGGACTTACTCTTCTCGCTCTTCAAGGCCCTCAACAAGGTATTGTGCACTCTTGAGAGTATTTGATGCCGGTTCTTCTGGGGGTAATAAAGAAAAGAAAAAAAAATATTTTGAGTTGCTTGGAATCAAGTGACAAACAACCAAAATGACCTTTGATCTAGTGGTATGTGAGTCTTTAGCCTCCTAAAAAATCAGGGGTTCAAACATCACCAAATGTGAAAAGGGTGTGTGAATTTATTTGCTCTATTTGCCGTATATAAATATTATATACTTAAAAAAAAGCAGTAAGGGCAAGGGTGGGCTTAGAATTGGCAGCCTAAAAGTGTTTAAGCTAGCAATGTTGGGGAAATGGTGGTGGCGCTTTGGAACGGATACGGAAGCATTGTGGAGGGGGATTGTGGCTAATTTTTATGGCAATTCGGGTGGGCTTCTAGCCAGGAACAGAAATAGTGATAAATGGGGCATTTGGAGTTCGATTGTGGGGCTGCACAAAGACTTGTAGAAGCTAGGGATAAACCTCGGCAACCTATTCTAATGGGACTCCGGCAGCTCCCATTGGAAATAGAACCTAGGAAGAAAACTATTCGGTTGCCTCCCTACGAAGAATTGTGGACAATTTGATGCTTACAGGGATTGAGTTAGTGGGTATAGGGTAAAGTTAACGTACATTTATGAAGGGTGCGGCAAGATAGATTGGCGACTATAAACAATATGATCAAAAAGGTCACACACATCAAAAATTCTAGTCATCTTTTAGTGTGATGTTCGACTTCGCGGGAGGTGGGAGCACATCTTCACAAATTATGGTGAAGCATTTGGCCAATAGACGCTGACTCGGTACGTGATCCGCGGGAAACTGCACAACAATCGAGTTCTCAGAACCATATTAACGAGGTGGCGGAAGTCATCTTTATGGCTTACTTTTGGGTCATGCATGTGGAACCAAAGAAATGAGAAGAGGAAGATGAGGAATGTTAAGGAGATTACTAATTTATCTGGTAGTATGCCTTTTACTGGATTAAAGTTAGAGCAAAGATAGGTAGAGCCTTATGCTGGGATGATTGGATTAGCTCCCTTTCGAAATTTTGTAAATAATATGTGTTCTCTAACGTCTCGCTAGTTTTTTGTTGGAATATAGGTGCCTTTTTACCGTCCAAAAAATTTAGAGCGTAAATAAAACTTGATGTAATTTTATGTAGAGAAAATATGGATTAAGACAACTAAATCATGTACTAAGTTTCAAATAGATATCTAGATTTGACAAATTTAATCTTAATCTTTAAGCTATGCATTAATAACTTGTTCACCATCGCACCTTCGTCGCCACAACCACCGTTCCCCTGCCTCTCAACGTCATTGTTGACGGTCGACATTGATGAAATATATAAAAAAAAAAATTAAAAAGGAAAAGCTTAGCATTTTGTTAATGTTCCTTAAGTTTTAGATTTTTATGACAATCATACAAATATAAATTAACCAAGGGTTTTTTTGTCTAAGTTTTGATGATATACGTTTATCATTCTATGGTTAAAAGATGTACAACATGATAGAACACAGAAATGGTTAATTAAAGATAATAAAATATTAATTCTTCATATAATAAATTATGTGGCTCTAACTTTAATTTTATATATAGAGTATATTTTAGATTAAAAAAAATCTGAAAGGCATGTTAATCACATATTTGATTAGTTACATTTAAATGTTCCAACATTTTTTATATTTATAATACCTTCTTATTTGAACATCCTTTCTCTCTCTCTCTCTATCTCTCTCTCTCTCTATATATATATATAGAGGCCTAATCAAATGAGAATTAATTAGTTTGTGCTAACCGTAAGGTCCAATCTCAATCACAACTCAATAAATAAATTAGAAATTTTGAATTTTGGTAATTTTGAATTAAAATTTTAGTTATACAAAGACATTTTAGGTATTATAACAGCCTCCTCTCTCCTCTCTCCTCTCTTCTCTCTCCGTCTCCCGTCCTCCGGCCATATATTGTCCTCCGGTCACCGTCCTCYGGTGATACCACAATGGTATCACAATGCATCATATATGTGTTTGAGTATCACACTGAGGTTATTTGTGTGGTCGATTGAAGATGCAACACAGTGGTATCACAATGCATCTTATATATGTTTGGTATCACATTGTGTCTTTTGTTTAACAGAGTCAATATTTTTAGGTATCACAGTGGTATCAACGGAGGACGGTGGCCGGAGGACGGAGAGAGGAGAGAAAATACCTAAAATATATTTGCATTAAATTTTAATTCAAAATTACCAAAATTATAAATTTCATAATCTATCTATTGATTTGTGGTTGAGATTTGATCTCACGGTTACCACAAACTTTCATTGAGTGGACCCCTATGTGTGTGTGTGTGTATATATATATATATATATATATATATATTGTATTTCAATAATTAAGAAGTCTTTTTTTGTGAGAAGTGTGAAAAAACTTTCATATACAATCGTCGATCTCTTTTGATCTGATGGAGCTAATCGAACGCGTTTTTGTAGAGGATAGACACTTTCGTCTTTTGGTTAGTCAAGGTAATTTACATGTTTAATGGTTTGATGTGAATATGTGACGGTTTAATCTACTTTAAAGTATGTGAAAGTTAATGGAGATATGTGCATGTTTTAATGTTGTGTGTTTTTCATGTAGAGAATAAGTGGTTTTCATGTGAAGACGTACATCTGCACATATACCTAGCTCCCTTATACTCGTGTCACCGTATGAAGTACAAGTACAACCATCACATGAAAAACCACTCAAATGCTCAGAACATCTTCTCAGGGTAAAAAACAACAATAATCACGTGATCCCAAAACCCTAATTATAATCTCTCGTTTGATTATAACTTTCTTGGTCTTATATAGTATCAGAAGAACCCACATGAACAAAACCAAAGCCAGCACGTAGGAATTAATCAAGGGTATCAAATCAAGGCTCATATGAACATATATAAAACCAACACTATACAAACCGATCGAGTGATTAATTAAATTACATGATTTGCTGCATAAAATAATTGAAAGGTGGATTATTAACTTGTACAAAACTGAAACTGGATGCTCAGTTATATTAGGTAGTCATTTTCAAATGCATTCATCACTTTCTTTCATTCTGAAGCCATTTTGAGAAGGCTTCAAGGGTATTCATGTCTGCTCTGTAATGTTTCTGAGTGAACTCGAGGAAAGTAGACCATGTAAAATCTGGATATATTCTCTCGTTATCGACATCCTCGACCAACGCTTTAGGCGGGCATATGATTTTGTCCATTCTAGGAGACAGAAAGAACGCGAGAGACTTCCTTGGCGTATGATTGTTCACGACCGCTCTATGTAAGCAACTCTTGTATAATCCATTGGATAATGCCTGCGAAAAAAGAAACCCTAATGTAAAAAATCGACATAATTAAAACTTTGGTATATATATTATGGAGTTGAGTCTTTCTTGATGATGTCTAGCTAGTTTGGTGTCTTAAAACACTTACCATGAATGTGTCTCCAATATTGACAACAAAAGCTTTCGAACATGGAGCGATCGACTGCCATTTTTTGTCCACGAAAACTTCGAGTCCACCGACATTATCTTGATGAAGAATGGTTAGAGATGTTGGATCACAATGAGGACCAGTTCCAAGTGTTTGCTCGGGTTTTTGGCAAGGTGGGTAGTAGTTTAATCTCATTATCGAATCATTTTCGTTGTAGAAATCCCTAAAGTAGGATTGACCGATCCCAAGGCTCATTCCTAGTAGCTCCATGATACCAAGAGAAAGTTTGTTCATGGCTTCACAATATTCTTGACAAACCCTCCTGAAGAACAATGTTAAGATCAGTTTTTTATAGTGTAAATGGAATGCGATGATGGATTTTCTTGTGTCAATGGCCGGCATATTCCGTCTGATACAAGAAAACCAACAAAAATTTATATGAATTATGAAGTTGATGCAAGTTTTGGTACCCGAAATGGCTAAAATCTTGACCCATCACATTCAAGAAATAATCTTGAACCAAGTTTGAGCATTGTGGATCCGCAGAATACCGAAAAGAAAGTGTTTCTTTCCATGGAAGCTTGGAGGAGAATCTATTAGTGAAGCTACTAGCATATCCACAATACTCACCAACTTTTCTTTGAGCCTTTTGCTTCTCTAAAAGTGGCATTCCAAAGAAAAGATCCATGATCTGGTGAGCTTCATATATCAAATTCGAATCGATCCCATGGTTAACAACTTGAAAGAACCCATGTTTTCGACAAGCGGAATCAACTAACTGAGCTGCATTGGACACTGCAAGTGGTTCACCGGTGAGGAAGCCCTTTAGGTCAATGGGAGGAACATGAAGTTGCGGCGGTGGTGGTCCGTGGCGGGGCTTTTCTTCCTCGGGCCACACGAATTGTTGGGGTATGCTAGTTTCATTTTGAAGAAAAGATGCATCAAAGATTAAAGGGTTTTGTCTAGATTTCGTTTCTTTTTTGGGTGAAAGCAATGGTGATGAATTAGGAAGAAGAAAAGGAGCCATTGATGTTTCTTTGTGTGAGAAGTAAAATACTCAATCAAGAGTTTGCACAAATAGTAGTATGACCTTGTGAGGGTTCATTATCAACCTACATAGATATATATACACACATGTTCCTATATATGTATATATCTGTTTTGGAGGATAGAGAAGGAGAGAGAGAGAGAGAGAGAGATGTCAAGAAGAAGAATGAAATAGAATTTGAAAGAAGTTTGAGAGAATGAAAGAGAAAAAGCCAAAGACCATTCATTGGGGAAATCATTCAACAAAAGTAGGAATATTTTTAGACTACACTCTTGCCATATTTTACTCCCTTTTTCACTTTTATACATACACTTGTATGTATCTATCTATACATGTACATGTAAACTTATATGCAATCTTTAAAATTAAATCAAAGGGAAATTAGTTCAAAGCATTCAAATGTGAAAAGCAAAACATGGTGTAGATGAGAGGAAATTAATAGGAAAAAATAGCAACTACATGATGACTCATTTAAAACCAGTCATTTTTAATATATACAGTACGTACGTGTTGTTAAACGAACCTTATTTTAGGTCGAATTGATGCATGGTGTCATGTAAAACAAAAAGAGAGTTTATAATATTAACGTTTGTGAATGTGAAATCGATAATTTAACAACGATTTGATTTAGAATAACTCTTTTTAATAATGTAATTAGAGACAAAATTTATAAAGTTTTGATTTGATTCCCTGGCATTTGACAAAAGTTTCCAATCATGAATGCTTTAAAGATATGTTATTTATTATGATTATTCAGGTTTTTAAGGTTGTCTGTCTTTACCCATGAATTTAGCATAACAACAAATTTGTAGGAGTTTATTTTCTTCAAAAGTCTTGTGATACATGAGTCCAAGTATCAAAATCTTGAGAAAAAATATATAATTCTGCATTTTCATCTATTTAATAAGTAATATATCATATACGGCAAAGTATATATATATATATATATATATATATAGGGTATATTTCAAATGCAAACATGTCCATTTATACAACTAATGCAACTCAGGGGCTGTTTGGCAGTTGCTGAATGATTTAGTTCAGAATAGTTAAGAGGTTAGAATGGCTAAAAGGATCAGAATGGTTAAGTGTTGAATGAAACAAGGTTGTTTGGTAATTATTCTCTGAATGATAGCAAATTACCATTTTAACCCTAGTTATGATTTAGTACTGAATAAACCAACATACAATTACCAAAGATGATGTTTCTTCATATCAGTATCAAATCCTCAAGAAATTGCAAAATGTCGATAATCCAATCATCATTAACATTGTTACAAACATGAAATAAGCAATAAACACCATCAATTTCTAA